TTTCTGACAAAAGTTACATACCGGTACATTAACATCAAATTTAAATCTTAAACTTAAGAACCCTGCACATGGATATATATTATTTATAGTTTTAAAATGAACTTCTTTCATCTTTGTTAATATAGGAAATGAGAAAAATCTGGTTCTAACCTTAAGAACTTCCATCTCTGAAAACACATTTAAAGATAAGTTCCTCTTAACTGGGAGAGGAAAAATGGTATTGTTTATGTGTTCTCTTATCATTTTGTTATTAAATTTTAGATCCGTAAAATCGTAATTGTCTATAAGAAGAGTTGGAAAGATCGGTGTTACATCAGAATATTTAATCATTCCTTTGACCAAATTTATCATGTTTGCTAGAATTGCCCTAATCAAAGATAGAAATTGTTTCCGTGGACAATCTAAATTATATTTTCTTTTACATACTGTGTAATCCAGAATATCACCCTTTGTGTCCATAAGATGTACAATGGCCCAGATACCTTTTTCCTCCCATTCTCTGTAGTATAGAGATTTTCTCTTATACAAAATAGGTTTGTATTCCAAATAATCATATTATGTGGCGTAAAATTGTGCTTGTATAACATTTTCCAATACTTTAGAACTCGTGTGTGGTAGTCTGATAATTTAATCTGTAATTTGACAGGATCCAAGTTACATCTTAAGAGAAATGTTTTTCCTCAAATTTTTTGAAAAAGTTGTGAAGTGAAACTAAACCATAAACTTGTTTCATTTATAAAAGTCTGCAGCCATTTTAATTTTATTACAGCATCCATGACTTGAAAATCAATAACATTTATTCCTCCTTTTTCTACCGACTTTACTATGTCGTTCTTTCTGATCAGATGTTGTTTATTATTCCATATGAAATTGTAAGGAATTTTATTATTTATTTTTTTTATCGTAGTTTTTGTTATATTTAAGGTATATGCTGGATAAATTAGTCTGGCTATCCCTTCCGTTTTTGTTAATAATATTCTTCCAAAAATTGAAATGTTCCTTTGGAGCCAACTATTAAATATTTGTTGATGTTTTTTGTAAAATTGGTTGAATATTTGTTCTTTCATTTTCAGTGTGGTCCTTGTTAATAATTATACCTAAATATTTTATTTTTTGCTTTGACATTATAAATTAAAGTGGATTGATTATTTTGAATTGCTAAGATTTCACATTTTTCCACGTTCAGTTTTAAGCCTGAAGCTTTTGAGAAGAAACTGCTTCTAAAGTCTCAGGGATTTGGTCAGCATTTTTTAAGAACAACGCTGCATCGTCTGCTAACTGCGTAATAACAATGTTTTCACCTAGGAAATTTAGTGGACTTATCTTGCTGTTATTTTTAATGTATAATGCTAATAGTTCTGTTTCTATTATAAAAAGTAGTGGGCTTATCGGGTCTCCTTGTCGAATACCTCTTTTTACATCAAATCTCCTAGTAGTTCCTGACTGAAGATATGAACGTAAACCTCTCAGTGTGGATTTAACTGTAAAGGACGCGGAGACATCCGGCCGCCAAAAAACTTAATTAAACGAAGAAGAAGACTACTTCCGGCCGAGGTCATAGTTCACCGGCTCGCCTCTCAAAATGGCGGCTGAACCTACACGGGAGTGGAGCGATGAGCAGCTCAAAAGTGATGATTTGCCTAAAAAAGACATAATAAAGTTCCTCCAGGATAATGCAGCCCACTCGGTAGGGTTACCACCTCAGTGTTTTCTCGGTTTCAGGCAAAATTATTACTTTGTCATTCCCCACACTGAACTGCAAGCCGTCTGCAGAGTTAGCATAGGGGAGCAGCATGAGTGAGATGCTAGCATCCAAAACACGCAATGAAGTCTGCTAATATTAAGCTCTGTGCTATGTTTTGTCTTTCAGTTCCTCAATGAACACAAACTACTGGGAAACATTAAAAATGTGGCCAAAACTTCAAAGAAGGAGCAGCTGGCCATCGCTTATAATCAGCTCTTTGAGAGCAAAGTAAGACAACTACCTTTTTCATATGAATGATTCATCAGCTACCTGAGTTAAAGTAAAGGTTTGAACTTCTGTCTGACAGAGGTTTAAAGGTACAGAGCCAGTGGAGGATGTAACCGAACAAGTCAAAGCTGTGAAGATTGAAGACAAGCCCAAAGAAGTCAAAGCTGAAGTTGTGGATGAGGTGCTTAGCTCATGGTTTATATAAATTGACTTTTTAATACTTCCTAGATTGATTCAGAGCATTTTAAAGACTTGTCTCCCTAACTTATTGTTTCAGGGTCCACCAAAGTATACCAAATCAGTGCTGAAGAAAGGAGACAAGACAAACTTCCCAAAGAAGGGAGACACTGTGAGCTGCTGGTACACTGGTACCCTGGAAGATGGGACGGTCTTTGACACGAATATCCCTGCAGGTATAACTGCACAATCTCCAGGCTTCGTTGGAACAATTTTAAACCCTTTTTATGCTTTTATTTAGGCCTATGTTTTGTGGTGACTCTGTTAAAATCACATCTGTCCAGTAAAAGTATATATTTGTTTTTATTTTTACGACCTCCCTTTTCTCGATCTGCAGTAGCGAAAAAGAAGAGGCAAACCAAACCTCTGAGTTTTAAAGTGGGCCTGGGCAGAGTCATCAGAGGGGTACGTTATCACCCATTGTATTTACCCTAATTCTGTTTTACATACACTCATAATCGCAACAAATTCATTCAACCTATAATCAAGCATTTAAAACAATAAACTGTTGAGAGGGTCTTATCTATAGAAGCTCAAATGTGTTGATTCACTCCCTCTCACATATGATGTACCTTCTATTAAAAAGTGATAAAGCTTATTTAGATTAGTTTTCTTGCTACAGAGCCTATTAAGCCTAGTCCAATTTTCTTCAGCATATTGTTCCACAGTGTTTTTATCCTATTTGAAAATTATTTTAATGTGGACTGTTTTATCCTTAGTTAGAATGAGCAGGACCCAGAGTATGGGAACCTCTGACTGAACTAAATGTATACAGCTAGAGGTGATCATTTCTGTTCTTACCACAGTGGGATGAGGCCCTTTTGACGATGAGCAAAGGTGAGACAGCGCGGCTGGAGATCGAACCTGAGTGGGCTTATGGAAAAAAGGGCCTTCCAGACTCAAAGTATCCTTTAGTCTTTAAGTGGCATTTTTACTCTTGTTTTTACAGAAAGTTTTGTTTGACTACATATTTGGGCCAGAATTTTTGCTGTTTTTGTTTTTTCCTTGATTCTTATTCCCTCAGAATTCCACCAAATGCAAAACTGATTTTTGAAGTGGAACTTGTGGCTGTGGATTAGGTATTTGCCACATGGATCACCCTACTGCGCCCTCCTTTTAAGTTTACACCGTCTTTGGACTGTAATGAACCAGGCTCCAGTATATACAACTAAATTTTCTTCAGTTTACTATCAAGAATAATTGCCGTCCCATTTCAAATGATCAGATAAAAATGAATGCATTTTTAATGTTGATATGGAACAGGTTGTCTTTTTGCATGTACAATAAAGATGATAAATCTCTTTCAAATGTTTTGTTTGATTTAAGATGGTGTCTGATAGCTTTCAGGTAAAATAAAAAATGCCACCATATCCTAAACTAATGAAGTAGTTCTGTAAGTTGCACCCGTACTTAATGATACAGCTCACCTTGCATGAGTGTGAAGTGATTTTATGCTAAAAACCCAATTCTTGAAGAGTTGGGTCAGTTTACACAAACAGTTGATAATGGCAGTTGACTTATCCTAGACAGAAACCTTCACTGTGGAAGCACAGCTTTGTGCCACAATCAGAAATCATTAACATTCTGCACCTTTTCAGGTTTCACGCAGTTACATTTAAGGGTGTTATGGCTTTTATTTTTTTTATGGCTCCATGTATCTAAGTTAACTGCCTTATGGTAATGTCCATTTTAGCTCATCTCAATACACGTACCAGAAAGGTTAACAAAGACAGGTGGAGCCTAAAATCTTAAAAGAATGGTTTTCAAACTGACCTCAGGACCCACTGTCTTGCATGTTTTAGGCATTTCCCTGCCTACACATGAATTGAATGGTGATTAGTAGGCCCCTGTATCTTGTGGTGGCTGCTGAGTGCAATCATTTATGAAGATGTGCTGAAGCAGAGATATCTAAGGGATGCACCACTGCCTTGAATGTAAATTTAAGAAAATAATTCATGTGTTTATGGGGATAATCCTTTTTTCAGTGAGACATTCCTTAAAATATTTGTTCCCAATATGACACAGCCCTCTTTAATTAGAATTTTAAATGGAATAAACAAAGGTCTTTCTTTAAAGGTACCATAAAAAATTTGAATGAATAAAACTCCTGAAAAAAAGGTTTTTTTAGCAAATTATGCTGCCTTCATGTATTCTGATGAAGATGATCCTTTCACTTGTCATATGGAAATTACCAGCACATTGTTGCAGCACAGTGCTTTTGTAGAGAGATCTTTTATCGGTCACAGTGAACTTGTCACAGATATTTTTTGTTTATGCCTAATATTAAAGCGTGGTCTGCGCTATGTAATTCCATGCCAAAATGCAAGATGGACAATCACGAACTAGCTGGGGGTCTAGATAAGGCTGAAGCAGTGAGGAAGTGAGGGCAGGTTTGTATGAAAACAGGAGAAAAGAGGGCGAAAAAGAGCAGGGAAAAGGGCCCCAGCATTCCTGCGCTCTTCTAGCTGGTCCATCTTCATGAGTCGTTCTCCACAATGGCGGTACACAAAACAAGGTGGTAAGCTACCAAAGGAAATATGCAGTGTAGAGCAGATGTAGATTTGACCAATCAGAGGCCCCCTGTCTGCGGTCACCTGCAATCAGCCTATACTCTGCACCACGCTGAAAGGTCAAAGTTGACCTCATCTCTGCAGCTCTGGTATTATAGAATATTCCCAGCTTTACGGTGGAAATTATGATATGGGTTAAATGTTCTTGTGCAATTTTCACATTGGCTCTCGGTATTTACCATAATTACCATACTACATGAAGGCACCATTAGACTACCCTTATAAAAGACATTACCAGATGATGCCAAGTCAAATATGCTTTATTCTGTACAAGACAAACTTTAACTTGGTAAAAACTGGGATGTTGGTGGCATCATTCCTCCATCAGAGCAGGGAAGCATTTAGGAGTTGGCGTTGGGTCCCTTCTTCTTTCCGAAGGTGGGCACAACATTCACAAAGCGCCTGTTGTACTGGATGCGGCGCTTGGCACGGCCAGTCTTCTTTTTCTTCTTCTCCTGCTTGTCAACCTGGAAGAACAAAAAAGGACTTATAATTTTCTTAGTTATGATTTGCAAGTTACCTAAAGTGACTTGACAAACAAGTGGAGGGGGAAAAAAAATGAAAATGTAGGATACTTTACCTTGGGAGTCTGTCCTCTTACTTTTCCTGCACGAGCAAGAGAACCGTGCACCTTACCTGGGAAAGAAAAAATATATATATTTTACCTCAATACATTTATGTTGCTTGAGGTCTCTTAAGACTAAAATAATTTAAAGAACACTTTATAATGCCTTTTAAAACAAGTCGGGGTCAAAAAAAATCTGAATGTTCTGCAAGAATGTACCAACCTCCGAGCAGCCTGCCAGCCACCTCCAGCGTACAGTGCTCAGTCACACCACAGGTTGCCAGGGGGACATCATCCTCCAGTGGGCACCCAGCAAGCAGCAGGACCTGGTCCTCCACCAGGAGTCCTTCCAGAGCCTGGACATGAGCCTGGGAGAACATTCGAGTCATTATTAGTGAGTGGAAAGTTCAAAAAGTAATCCTAGAAGGCATCATGCTGTTGGCACTTTTTTACCTTGATCTGGCCAACGGTCTCTTGTCCGGTCACCTCAAGGGTGTGAGTGTTCTGGGCACGCAAAAAGAGCTGCATCTTTTACTCTACAAGAGAAAAAGTAAAGAAATGGGCATCACCAATACTGAAACCATAGCTGCCATTTCTGTGCCAGTCACTGGATTTACAATGAGGCTGCTGACTACCATTGCCTCAAATTTGCTTCTCATTTGCCTTCGTAGGTTGTTAAACAAAGATTCTCAAAGTTTCAAACTGCATTTATTGAATTTAAGTCATTAAATATCATCTACTCCATAAAAACATAGTTGAAGAAACGTATCTTTAGAGGAGGGTTAGGTTTTATTATAATCGGTATAAACAACCTGTTATTGTGAGCTGCTATGATCGGTAGATCTGCTAATTTTAGAATAATAAACATGTTTCACTACCCTGAGAACAAAGGTCAGAATCTCTCGAACAGATGTGACTCAATGTTAATTAACTATTAAAATATTAAAACTATATTAAACTTAACCACAGAGACTGGTTAAGAAAGGCAATTCACACTTCAAAGCTTTCTGGACCTTCCAACTGTATAATCTAGAGATAAAATCTTCATTAGAAACTGCCGTCATTTTTTTTTAACACGGATAACTGCGACATTTTAACACCTTCGTGTAATTCTACTTTGCATCTGACAAATCAATATGTCGGCCTTTCGTCGGAAACTACCAAAGCATCTGCACTACATTTAATCACAGCAACACACATTGTTATCATAGCATTACATACCGATATTTATATTTAATTAATGTTTTAACCGATAACGAAGCGCAACTCGTCGAAACTTTAGGTAAATAAACCGGAGGTTCTCGTCTACTAGCTTAGTCTATGCTAGCTTAGCTTAGCCTAGCCACATGGTAGTTGCGTTTTACAGAAGTAGTCCTAAAATATGCTAAACACAAACCAGAGACACAAAACTGACCACGGAACACTGCGTCTTATAATAAAAGTTCAAAATCGACGTATAACTGTGAAGATTAATACTTATTGAGAAGGAAAAAGGGCATTAAGTGAAGGCGTCTCACCTCGTTTGATGCTAGTCGTTCCACGCCGAGCATAAAAAGGACCGATTGACGGTTAGAACAGCGCATGTGCAGATTTACGTAACTTACGTAATTTGCGTAACTTAAGGCGGAAGCAACAGTGACGCCAATAAAACCAGGGCGGCGATAGCATGTTGATTGATAAGAAATCAATCCTTAAATAACAAAAAACAGATATTTTACCCAACTTAAACAAGTACTAAATATTTAGAAGCTGTATTTTATAAAACAATATTTCACCTAATAGTACTAAAAATTTAGCTTTAGTTAATAAAAAAAAGGATATTTCACCTAACTAGTAAAAATGTAGGAGCCTTATTTTCCAAGCAATAAGAGCCCAAATGCTAAAGGTCAGCAGTATCAGCTTTTTTGAGAGAACCTGTTTATAGCAGGTTTTATATTTATTACCTCTCTGTTACTGAAATTAAAATCATTACATGGCAAACGTGGGTTTATTCCACACATTTCAATGCACTTACATGGAGAGGAACACATCCCATGTTTTTGTAACAAACCCATGACATGGTTAGATCAATATTTTTTTCTTTCAATTTCAAACTACTTCATGACATTAAACCAGGAGTCTTCAGGATATCAATCTCTTTATTAGGAAAATCAAGTCAAAAAAAGCACACCATCATGAAATTTTTACAAGTGTTAATGTTTGGAAAAATGAAACGTGACTAAAGAAACACATAAATGCTTCTTTAACAACCTTAAAGCAAAAAGACAGAAAAAACAAACTAAGTCATTCTAAAAAAAAAAAAAAAAGTTTTTTTTCTTATACAGGACAAATAAAAACAAAAAAAATTGCCTTCAAACAACATTCTTCAGATCAAAGGATTGTTGAAACCATATCTAGCAATTGCAGTTTTAAAACCAACTGATTTGTTTCGATCATAGAAAACAAGTGTTTCTAACGTGGGGGTTGTAACATGAAATTTCACCAGGAAAGTAAATAACAGCGGAAGGAAAAATATCTAAAAAAAAAAATAAAAATAAAAAAGGTTATCCTGCCCAGTGTGAGGCTGAATTAAAAATCTGACATCCAAGCAATTTGCTCTGCTCCAGGTTTTAAAGTCAGGAAAAGATGCATCTCCATCTTCAAGTCCATCATGTTGGAGGAGGAGGGTAGTATTGGTTGTACTGGGCATACTGGTTGTACTGCCCCCAGGAATTTTGTCCCCAACCACCATACTGTTGCTAAAAAATAAATAAAACAAAAACCATTAAGTTAATTTTTAGACAAGATAAACTGTTCCAGGGAAGCATTCGACACAAACCTACCTGGTACCAGTTGTAGTTGTATGCCGAGTTGTTTGCCTGCATGTCAGTCATTGCATTTGCAGCAACTGCAGAGGGATCATCCATTCTCTGCCTTTTGCCATCAGGTTCTTGGGAGCTTTAGAAGAAGAGGGAAAATTAGACAATTCTTCTGATTTGATCATCATGGAACAGTTTTTCTATCTTTAATAGCTAAACATGGCTTGGCCTATCCAGGCCTCGTTTCCTCACCTGTCATATCCGTTCTCAGCCTTCCTTTTTAAAGAGTCGCTTTCTTTCTGCAGTTTTTGTTGTTCTTCATATGCAGCCACAAGCCTAAGTGGTGAATTACAAATATGAATAAGACAAAGTTTCAACACATTAGTAACAGTCTCTTCATATCTTGTTTTACTTACACATTAATGTCACTGCCAAAGTCTTCTAAGAATTCGACTTTGCGCTGTGAGAAGACGATGCGGGAGTCCAGGGGCAATTGGCTCCTCAGGGCCCGGTCAAAACAAGCCAAGATCTCCGCCTGATTCTGGGTCACGTCTCCACTAAACTCTAGCTCCAGCAGGTTTAAATATAGTCTGGAATTTGTCTACAAAAAGCAAAAATACATATCACATACACCATTCCAAATTTTACATCCCAAAAAGAATTGATCTAGCATGGACAAAGGTATCCATGTGAACTGCCACATGCACCACTCCTCACCGGGTCTTTCTCCATAGCATCAAGAAGCACCTTCTTTGCCTTGCTCAGACTTCTCTGCACCTTCACCATGTGTCTTGCCAGCTTTACAGCATAGAATGATGACTCTGTAGCAGTCTTTGCAGACTCCATTGCTTCCTTCAACAGTGCCTCAGCCTGCTCCAGGTTCCCGAGGCGACGCTCCAGGCTGACCCTCCGAAGACGAACCATGGCCAGACTCGGGATCGTTTCCTCCAAGGTCATCAGGATTCTGCGAGCCTCTTCCACTTGGCCTAAACAAAGACGAGTACCACACTTTGACCTAAGCTCATTTATATAATGCCATTAACTTGAAATGTAGCTTAATTTCCAGTTTTTGCCTCCAACATTTAGAAATTGACATAGCCTTAACTTTATTCTTGAAGTTCTAGTATCCTGAATGTCCAAATTAGACAGGCAGAGTGGAATATAAACATTACTTCCAACTAATGTTTGGACAAACGTCGAAGTTTCTGGAGGATTTCTATTTTTTTTGTAGATATTGGCAAGCCTCTCAAAATTCTGGCTGGATATTTCCCATCAATCAGTTCAGATCATTTAAATTAGCTGTATTCTTATAATGATACGAAGCATCAAGGCAGTTTTCTAGGAGAGCCTAACAGAAGAGAACTTGTGTCCTTTGATACATAAAGGAAATTAGTGTTTAATTATTAAAAACCTTTTAAAGTAGACACTTTTATAGTTTGGAGAAATTGCCATAAACCACCAGGTTTTTTGGTTAATAAATATGTTAATCCTTATGATTTTACTCCCCTTATAGCACCTTGGGAAGTTAGCTGAATCTGTTAACAAGGTTTACAGCTTCAAGTCACTTATGCTCCTGCCTTTCAGCCATCTAGCTCTGCTGTATTTGAGCAATTTGAAACTGTGTTTTTTCCTTGCCAAGGTTGGTAATCGTTAGAAACCAACAATTGTCCCACTGACATACGCAGTTTCTCAATAACTTTAAGGTTTTAAATACATTGTAATGCTACTCATTAATCAGAATCATGCACAAAGATTTGTCTTGATAAATGCATCTCTGAGTATTAATCAGAAGTTCTGCTGTCTGATTAACAGTCTCTCCCAAACCGGTGATAAACACTTCTTCCACGCAGCGCGTACCTTAATTGCAAGGTGTCAGCACTAAACAAACCCCACTTTTTCTAATCAGGGAGGGTGAAGTGAGGCGGGGAATAATGATTCTGGCTCAAAGTTTAGACAAAGTGGCTCCATTAGCAGCTCTTTATATTTAGCTAATGTCTACATCATGGATATCTTTTTTGGTTGCGAGAGGTCTCAGGCTTCGTTCAGGCTTTAGAATAGCTGAAAAACTGAGATGTTGTCAGAAAGGCAGCACCCAGATGGGGAGGTGTGGCTTCACTTTGAAGGCCAGTATCCTTCATTGGGGTTGGTAGAAAACGATACTTCGCAACAAATCAATACCTGCATAGTTCTAAGGTCATTCGTTCAACACATATTTGCCTATAGGTGGCTTTGAAAGGCTAAAAAAAGCATAGTATAGGACTTGAAGCATTCTCTTTTGGAGCCTATTCACAAATCTTGACTCAACGTTAAATCTAATTTGAGAATAATTTCAAAATTACCTTCGTTTTCAACTTATTTAAAAGAAAGGTATTTGAGAAACCTTGCTGATCATTTTGACATCGCTGAGAATTAAAAATCTTGTTTTAAACCATAAATACAGCACTTTTCAAGATTGCAAATGGTGTTTCGTCTTTTGACAGATAATTCTGTTATCTTTCTCTTAATCATAACCTGCTCCAAAATTACATTTATCCAATATTGTGTGGGTGCATGTAAGATATTTGAGTAGGATATTCAGATAAAACTGGCCATAAGAGACATATCCAATGCTGAATATATGCCTACCTTGCTGCTCCTCAAAGGCTGCCCAACGAAGGTGAATGGAGGGTTTCTTGGGCAGATGTACGGTGCAAGCCTTCTTGTATACATGTCTCGCACCATCAGTACTGAAGCCTTCTAGATATTTTGCATACTTTATAGAGTGGAAAAAACGAAAGCAAGTTGGAAGAAAGGCAAGAGGACAGACAAAAAAAAAAAAGAGAAGAAAAGGCAAAAAGAGACAAAACATTTTTAACCTGTATATACAGTTCATACACACAGTGAAATGCTTCATAGACAAGATCGTTTTCAGAAATTTTCTGTGTAAACCCATCAGCACCTTCATGGAACCAATTAGATAAGTTTCTGTAAGGTAGTGGGAGACGAAGAAGATGCAACGTAGTAGTTGGCAAATGCTGCAGTCAAATCTTGTGTGGCAAGCTGGCCATCCCCTAATACAACAGATACAGTCACATATCAACGTTACACGCAAAGAGTGCAGGACGTTTTCTTTGTTTTTGTGCTTTGTTGCTTTTGTTTTTTTTTGCTTTTTTTTACTGAGCCGATCTGATCATCAACGTTGATGGGGAAGTGCAGGGAGGCAGCAGCAATGAGACGCGAGTTCAAGCCCAAAATACCTTTATCCAGAATTCCTCGTAGAGGGCACAGGCGATGAGACATCGTTCAAAGAGGACCACCACGCGCTCCGGGGTCCCGTTCTCAATTTCAAAGTCCAAGTACTCCTTCCAGTTGTTTAGCTGTGTCTTCTCCAAGGCTTTGACGTGGAAGTAAGGTCGCTTGATCTAAAAGGACATAAAAATATTTAGAAAATGTTGCATCATGAAAAATGATTTCATTGGCAAACTTGTATGAAAGAGAGATGAAACCTACCCCTTCTTCAAAGGTCCAGCGCTTGCTGACTTCATGCTCGTTGTGGTTGAATATCTCCTGCCGAACCTCAATCACCTTGTGGCGCATGTTTTCAATTTCTGTCACCCTCTAAATAAAAACACATAAAGATCTAGATCAGCATTTTTAATGTCCCCTTCCAGCACAACATTGTCCACTTGTTGAATACTGCTAGTCCTGCAACCAAGGATTTACATCACCATGATGTTGCCAGAGACAAGAAGCCTGCAGAAGGGACAGGAAAGTTTGCACCCTGCACAGCTGGGTTCAAAGGAGCCCCGGTTGATCCTTTTAGTTTAAGGGCGAGTCCCTTACTGGACCTCCTGGCTTGGCTGGTGACATAGAAAAACTTCTTCAAACCTGAACAATTCTTTACCTATGTTATCATGGACAACAGGAAAGCTCCTGCTAAACCTGCAAGTGGAATTTTGTCAGTCTTCTCCCTCACTAGGAACTGTAAAGCCATTCTTACCTTAGCGGGATCTGCAAGGTCCTCAGTACCAGGTGGCAGCTCCTCCTGTGGAACGTTTGCTTCTCCATCTTCAGCAACCATTCCTGACAGGCTAGATTTAGAGAGCTCCAGTCTAAGTTGAACAAACTCCTCTTCTGACAAAAAGTACTTGGGGTGGTTTCCCTGCACGTGATCTTTGAACCTACACAAACACAGCCAAATGTTACTCTCAGAATACAGTTAAACAAAGATTAGAAAACAATCAAGTACAAACAAAAAAGGTATAATCTTTTACGACAAAAAATAGGTTCATGTTTACACGTACTTCTGAAAATGCTGGGAATACAACTGAGTTGGGATGCCTAAGACACGATCATAGATAGTGGTGACGTTAGCCAGTTTCTGGTGTTCCGTTTCCCAGGTAATGTAGGATTCCCAAAGGCGGTCAGAACGAAAATCTGTGCCTGCTGCAAGAACTGCATGTTCATATGACCTATTAGAAAAAAAAAAAAAAAAAAAGGGTACTTTACTGGTTATGTTAAGAGTTTTGAGAAGGCTTTGCTTTTCGACCAATAATGTTTTACTCACGCTCGGATCCGGCCCTCTGTCTCAGGATCGTCAGGATCAGAGTTCTCTTTAATAAAGGTGAGGTAGTGAAGCCAAAGGTCCACACTGAGAGGGATCGCCTGCAAGCCTCTTCTGTACACCTGGGTAAAAAATAAATAAAATAAGCTTTGAATTGTTTAGGATGCTCTTTAAAAGTTAAAAAGTTTAGTAATACACATTTGATCAGGATTCGAGTCCAACCACATAATTCAGTCTTTCATTTTTTACTTTAAGACAGTTTTTTGAAACTGCAGTATTAAAGTCACTACCCAGCATGCTCTTAATAAAAAAATAAATACCACGAGAGCTCTTTGGTATCAAAACTATGGTAATTACAAGTCAGTGAAAGCCGAGTGTGTTTAAATGGTAAACATCTGAGATATGCAAGAAAACACCCTGAAGACTACCATGTGAATACACTAGCGTCGGCCTGTAAGGTTAACTGATCAACTGTTCCAAAAATTATTGCAATAAAATATAATACTGTTGTTTGGTTTGAATCCAAATGCGTCATGTGATTAAATTTTACTATTAAATTAATTCATGACAGGCTGATACTAGTGTGATATACCTTGATAATACCAGTTCTGTTTAATTGTTACTGAGATAAAAATCAATGAAAAATGTCAGAAAATGTTACCTCTTCTGCAACCTGTATGTTGCCGTGCTTTTTCTCAAGATCTGCATATTTTTTCCAGTAGCCATAGCAGTAAGGATAACGTAGGAAGAATACATCAAACGACTTTCTTGCAGCCATAAGGAGATTCTGAAGAGAAACAACAGACAGAATCATTAAAATTCTACTTTTAAAATTAGAGCTGAGTATAACAATTTCCCTGTATTTAAGAAATATGAAAATAATCAGCATTTTCTTACTTCTTGCTCCACGTATTGCAGCAATGCCACCCAGGCATTAAAGTCTTCTGGGCTGTCTTCACAGATCTTAAAGAGTCTTTCAAACTCTGAGGGTAGGCTTGGTTCTGTTGGAACAGATGGTTCCTGTGAACCTTCTTTGGATGGGTCTTCAAGCTCCATGCCATCCTCTAACTGCTGTGCTTCAGTACCATCTAGACAGGGTGGATCAATACAAAAATGCCCTTCAGGTTAAATCACAGCAGGAAATGAAACTTAAGTTTTAATGTAATGAGATTTAGGGATCTAGTTCTGTTTGTGATGTTAAACAAGACTAGCTAGTATTTACCCTGACTTCCATCTTGCATAACAGCCTCTGGCTGAGACTCTGTCGTATACTGCACTGCTTGGTCTGGTTCCTCTGCAGGTGGTGGAGGTGGGGGCGGGGGTGGAGGCGGATGCTCTTCTTGGAAATGAGAAGCACTGGCGATCTGAAACTGCTCAACAGCCTTATCCACAGATCCAAGCTCAGAGGAGTTCATTTGTTGGTTTATCTGCTGCTGTTGCCCAAGATCATTCTGAGAAGAATCTGAGCCTTCGGGCGCTGGTGGTGGAGGGACTTGGTCTGAAGGCCAGGCTGCTGGTTGAGCAGGAAGGTCAGGAAGATATGTGTTCCCATTACTCTCCATAGTAGTGGACTCAGTGTCCAGCATTCCACTCAGAGTGGCACTTTTGCTATCACAAACCTGTTGAGGGGAAAAAAACGAATAATATTTTAGAAAAATAAAAAAATAAGTCGAAATACATTTAAAAACAAACGAGTAAACATTTTGCAAGAATTCACTTTTATTCTCAATTTAAGTCTGAAAACCAATGTGCTGGTTGACAGAAGAAGCAGGAACACAAAAATGGCACACACACACACACACGCACACAAATTTAATTAACACTGCACCTGAAGAAAAACAAACTTCTCAAAAGTCCTTCATAATCATAGAACATTTCAATAGACAGAGTCGCCTGAGGCAAAAAAAAAAGAAGAAGAAAAAGTTCCAGAACTTGTTTGACGACATGTCAAAACCTCAAATTGAATTGCAGCAACTTCGGCTTTTTCTTTAATCTAATGAAACACTTGGTTTCAACGGGATCACTAAGATTAACCGCAAAGGCAGCTTTATATAAATAACTCAGCGCTGAGAATAAGAACCAGCAGCGAGTTAGCAGAAGTACCAGATGGTGATGCAACAAGATACTTCGGAGTCATTGAGCTGATCTGTGCTGCATATACAGCAAAAACACAACAAACACAGACATTTAGAAAAGGATTAGTAAGGCAACAGCCGACATTGTTTACTTTAATAAGGCGATGTCTCATCCGGGTGATCGCCTGCTCAAAGTTCAACGTTAAGTTAGGCCTCTAGGCCTGTCTGAGGCGATGTTAGGCTAGCTAACTAAAGCTAGCTAGGTCGTTAAGTTATCTAGCCGAGTTGGTTTTATGAGTGCGTAATTTTTGTAATTGTCTTTTAAGTAAGCCATTTGCATTTTTAATTACCGACCCCAAACACCGACTAAACTAAATTAACTTAAAGTAAATAAGCGAAATATTGAATACGCTTTCGTCCTCACTTAGCAGCACGCACCAGACTGGCTAGCCGGTTATGGTTTTCACTTGCGAGGCTAGTGCTAGCACAACGTCGAGTTTTATCTATTTATTGTAAATATCGGTCAATTAAGTGGTTGTAAATCTCACCTGCAGCTCCCAGATCAGCAATGTTAGTATAATAGAACAACAATCTCTTTCCTAAGTTACAATCCAAAAACTGACAAGCGCGCGTCATCCACCATACCTATTAGGTTGGAGGAAGAGCAGACCCTAAAGGCGCATGCTCAGACCCGGCACCATGGAAACGCGCTCAACGGGGTTACAGGACGAAAGCGCAGGGGCTGAAATGTTTTTCATTAACTTTATTTAAAGTTAGCCAAAATGCAAATAAGAATAGCTCGGAATGACAAGATTCTCAGAGAAAACACCTACTATATTATTTAACTGTCCCTACGCTGTTTAGAATAACAACATTTATATCTGTTCAAGTTTTACTTAATTTTACTTACCTGCAAAACTTAAAAGAAATAGAGAGACTTATCATTAGTAAGTGCTAGAGAATATTCTTGTTTTTTGGGGGGTTTTTTGTTTGTTCTTTTTACTAGCCCTTGTCAAAAAAGTGAAATATAACAGTATTTTCCAACATTTATTTTGTAAAGTATTTTAATAGGGGGATTGCCTGTTTTATTTTTTTAAATCAAGATTTAAGAGATAAGACTTTAAGGGGCTGAGCAGCTCCTTTAGTTACAGACTTATACACCCCATGGGTAAAAAGAAGCTCTAAGGCAGGACATTTATCCCCGCTGCTAGCTTTACAGTATGTACTACTGTGAAATAACCTTGTGTAATATCAGCAGTGCAAAAAGTCTATACAATAAGAGCGTGTATTTAATTATTTATTTACCAAACCTGCAACCACTGCTAACACTTTGTCACAATACTGTATTTGCACTCTACAGATCATACCCCATTGTCCGTAAGATCACTTTTTTACCTATTATATATACATATAGATATATAGATATATGTGTTTGTCTTTGTATGTGTGTATTTGTAATTTTAGAACTTGTGGACTTATTCCTTTAATGCATCTTGTCCTTGCTTGTTTATTGGAGCAGATGTTACAAGTGAATTTCTCTGTTGTGAGATCAATAAAGTCCTACCTTAAATATTTTCTATTTTTCACAATATAAGCATAAGTAAAGAAATTGAGAAAAACTGAACAAAGTTATTAAATTGTCAGTCCTTTAAAACAAGTCAGGGAAGATAAAGCAACAGAAATGAAAGAGGTCAAATCTCAAATTATAAACTCAAAATACATCATACATGTTTCATAAAAACAGATTTTTTTTTTGTGAAGAGTTAACCTGTTCAACATTATTTCATATCCAATATTTTATAAAAAAGAATTCTAATTTAAATTAAAAGTTTAAATCAAGGATCAATATTTTTTATTTTTTGATATGTCAGTTTCAGTTGCAAATGCCAAATCAAACTTGACGAAATATATAACAGAAGGCTATATATTTCATGGTGCTTTTGTTTGTTAGAGAAGGGAAATTATATTCTTCTTACCTTTTTGGCCTGGAAATATTGTAACTTTATGATACGGTAGACTAAATTAAAATTAATAACAGACCCAAAACACAAAAAAACCTTTATGTTATTTTTCTAACTTCTGAAAGTACTTTAAATATGAAATTAATACATACTGTTCAATAAATGATAAGTCTTTTTTATTAAGAGTAAATTTCCTTTGAATGTGCTTTACTGGAGGCCTCCATGTTTGTCAAACAACACTACTGCCACCCAGAGATGGCAAAAGTACTCACTTTCCGTACTTGAGTAAAAGTACAGATACTTGTGTTAAAAAATAC